CAGCAGGAGTAAGATGAAGCTGTTTAAACAGTTTCTATCTTTACATGCGAAAGTGGTATTAAGGGGTCGAGAAATCACACAAAAACAGACTCTTGCAATGAATGCTGCCTTGCTTTCCAGCAGAAACAAAAACAGGGAAGGCAACCTAAATAAGATGTGGAAGGTTTTTACAAAATACTCAGTGAGATGGAGGGGAAAAACAAAGCAGGTCAGTCGTAAACCCAAAAGAAACTCCTTGGGACTCATTTGTACTCTACAGCTTTATTGCCTTGCAAAAGCAGCCAGTGATCTTAACTCCCAAAGTCTCATCTGGTTTCTCCAAGTCATTTCAAGGGTAAAATATTTTCTCATTTCTGTTCCAGGGAAGAGGGAAGGAAGTCTAATACAGCTGGAAAAGCAGTTTGCTGCTACAACATTTTATTGCAATGCCACTTGCTCTGTGGTGCTACACTTCTGCTCACACATACACATTTCCACACCATCCCTCCACTTTAAACTCTGCCAGATTTACCTTCTGTTCAGTTTGCTCCTTCTATGTTGTGTATTAAATATTGGCACCATACTGTAAATGTTTAATTACCAAGTGTCATGAAATACGAATGGCTCCTTTCATCTGTAGTCTTGACAAAAATGATTAATGAAATATTTCCAGAAGTTTTTCCTGTGGATTTGGGGGAGTGGGAGGGTTGGTTATAGATCTTGGCACACTATTCAAAATGACATCAAAGTACATAATAGAGGAAATACTAGGCACCAATCCATCCATCCGTTCCATTCATTTGGATGTTTTCTGCTTGCAAAAATATGCGATCACAATTTCAAACTGATTTCTGTCAATTTAAACTAAACCTAAATATTAGTGTATTGGGAGGTACTGAGGAACTGTGTTTGGCTGAATAAGACTCAAAGCATTTTTTTGTTTTCCAGTTGGGTAGCTATGAAAACACTTCTGCTATGAAAAAAAGTGTCTGCCAACTCAGAAGAAGCTTAGAGGTTTTGAACAGGTGCATTTACAGTTTTGGTGAGAGTTGGAAAGCGAGCAGATACTCAGAGTGCATTTAATTAAAAAAAACTAGGTATCCTCTTGAACCTCCACTGCTCTAGCATCTGCCTCAAAAGGAGACCTGGAACAAACCACTGTCCTACACATAATCCCCGTTATTTCTGTATCTGGCCCATATTTAATCCGTGGCTGAATAAGTTCATCTATGAATGCTTTGTAGAAGAAGCGAGTGAATGCTGCTCAGACTCTGCCTTCTTGTACAGCAAAAGGAACAATAACTTACACCAGTCGCTGGAGCCAAAGTCTTCATCCCTGCTAGGAAAAGCAGAAATTATTTTTTCCTACACACCAGTTGCAGTTCAGTCCCTTAGCACATGCTGCCTACAGGCACCGTGGTAAGTTTTGAATGAGGAATAACGTAAAGCTTTTATAGATCCTTCTGGTGCCACGCAAAAACCTCCATGATAGATTGGTGTGAAAACAAGAGCTTTGCAGTTCTTCTTCTGGATAGCATACTAGTAGCTAAATAACTAATTTCCTATGCATATTGTGCTTAATCATCTTAGCTTCCATCAGAGTAGCTACTTCTGCTTATCCGTATTTTAATGATTGGATCAACTACTCTCTGGCCAGCAGGGAAAAATGTTTTGATATTTTTAGCATTCGTTTAGCAATGCAAATTAGCTTGCTATAATCGTGTTTGCGAGAAAACACACAGTACAATCAGGACCTTAATAATGACTGATATTAGCAATGCTCTAT